CTTGCTCTTTTGGCTTGTGTTATATTTTTATTGGACAGCCCTGATCTGGAGGAACAGTGCTAGTGTAATTTTCTTCCCTTAGAAATAGTTTTACTTTTTTGCCTGGATGCCTTTTTTTCTTTAATATTTTTTTCCTTTAATCCTGAACTTGAATTAGTGTTGGCCATTCTGGACCAAACCTTATTATTATTTTTTTCTTTACTGTAGTGAAAATCATGTAGCATTAAATTTATTATCTCCACCACTTTCAAGTGTACAATTCAGTAGTGTTAAGATCTCTAGAACTTTTTCTTCTTACAAAACAGAAACTCTATACCCATTAAACACCATTTCCCCCTTCTCCCTCCCACTCGTGCTGTGTTTTAAATATAATGTTGGAGATCCGTGTATGATGTGTCTTCTTTTTCCCCCTTTACTGAGATATAATTGACGTTGTATAAGTTTAAGGTGTACAAAGCGATGAGATGACACACGTCTATCTCGTAAAATGATTACCACAAGATATACCTTCTTCAAGCCCACAAAGAATTTGAATACGAATTCTGATTAAGAAATTCTAGCTAACTCATAATGAAAAGCTTGCAGTTTATCCATTAGTCACATGTGTTCCTGTTAGCAAACAGGCAAAGTATTTGAGTACAGTTCTTTCCCCCCTACCATTTCTGATTTTAGAGTGTAGTTCATGCTGAAAAGTGAAACTGTGCACAAATATGCCAAAAGGCATCGTTTTCAGAGACCGTTAGTGTGTTCGGCGTTACCGTCTGCTGATGCGGTAGCGGCACATGACTGTGCGCTGATCTGTCCCTTTAGACAGCTGGGCAGACAGACAGAAAGCTTTATCCAGGCCGCAGAGGCAGATTTGCTCTTTCTTGCCAGTCTAATTAGGGCAAGTTATTACAGGGGTCCGTTTCAAAGAAAGGAACGAGCAAATTTTTGGTTGCTTTAAGCTTATTATTATTTTTTTTTTTAACAGAGAAGGTATTTGTATTTTTTTTTTTTAATTTTTTTTTCAACGTTTTTTATTTATTTTTGGGACAGAGAGAGAGAGCACGAACAGGGGAGGGGCAGAGAGAGAGGGAGACACAGAATCGGAAACAGGCTCCAGGCTCTGAGCCATCAGCCCAGAGCCTGACGCGGGGCTCGAACTCACAGACCGCGAGATCGTGACCTGGCTGAAGTCGGACGCTTAACCGACTGCGCCACCCAGGCGCCCCAAGGTATTTGTATTTTAAGTGCACCAAGGGAGATCATCTTTTTTTTTTTAAGTTTATTTATTTTTGAGAGAGAGAGAGAAAGCGTGCGCGCATGTGTATGCACACGGGTTGGGGGGAGGAGCAGAGAGAGAGAGGGAGAGAGTACTGTCAGCACAGAGTCCAGTGCGGGGCTCAGTCCCACAAACTGTGAGATCATGACCTGAGCCAAAACCGAGAGTCGGACACTCAATTCACTGAGCCACCCAGGCGCCCCCGGAGATCATCTTTTTAAAGGAATTTTACATCGACTCTTCTACTGAAATGCAGAAGTCCTTTTTTCACCTGTGATATATTGACCCTAATTTTAAATCTGTGTATATTTGTGCTCTTGATTTTTAATGTAAGGCAAAAGTACAGCTAGCTGTACCCTACTTTCTTGGTAATTTCTTCTCTTTTAATATTATGGCAAAAGAAAAAAGAACCCTGTCACCATCTTTAGCCCTTTACCCCCCAAGACATCAGTGCTCTTCTCTTGCTAGGATAATCACTACCATCGGTAAGTTGATTATCTGGATTTCTTTGTCCCTACATCCCTCACCTGACTGTTCACAGGTACTGGAAACTCAGCGTGTCCCATACTGAACTCAACAGTACAGTTCAGACACCAAACCTTCCTCCCTCCATTCTTTATTCATGACTTGGGCAAGCCATCCCTCAGCGTGAAACCTTTAACTTTTTGTTTATCTTATGGTATTTATTTATTTAAGTCATTTCTTTCCCCAACGTGGGGTTCGAACTCCTGACCAGAGATCAAGACTCGCACACTCCACCGATCGAGCCAGCCAGGCGCCCCAAAATCTTTAACTTTTAAAATATCAGCGAATGGATGATAACTATATAGTCTCTAACGTATAGAAAATATATTTTGCTAAAGGTTCAACAGCAAATGACTTCCACTGTTTGAGATGGCAGCTTCTACTTAGGGCAACTCGGCACCTCCCCCCTCTATAAATTATGCATTTGGAAAATAGGGCTTGCAAGTGCGAGACATAAATAATTGATAATTAAGCTTTCCCAAATGATGAATTACACTGTCACCGCAGATACATACACTTTGTATTTTTCGGTTTTGGTGGGTAACTCTCGCGAGTTCCTCAGTGATGCTTTGATTTTGGCCACTTTTTCTCTCAAATAATGTTTTCCTACTTGTTGTTCAATTAAAGAATCGCCTCACTTTGTGGTGAGTGATTTTTATCCACATTGCCTCGTGTAATAAGTGTTTGTAAAGCTGCATGGGAAGAACACCCGTGAATGAACATGTGGTTCAGTTTTTCCGTTGGAATTTGCTTCTCTGTCTTCCTTCCTATGGCTTTTTCACAGCTGAAAGCACTGAATCTCACTGTGTTTAGTTTGCTATAAACCTTCGACAAAAATTGAAACTGGTTTAGAAAACGTATCTATACTCTTGCTGTGTGACAGATAACGACGAAGCCTCTCACCATTTCATATGTTTTTTGAATTCATCCAGGAATTGGGGTATGTGAGGAGAGCTGTGAGAAGGCGTGTTGGGGGATAAATCCTTTCCTTCGGATGGCTTATCTTCATGCGATAATTAGATTATGGAAATTTGGGTTGGGGTGCCTGCCTGGCTCAATCGGTTAAGCGTCCAACTCTTGATTTTAGCTCAGGGTGTGATCTCACAGTTTGTGAGTTCAAGCCCCACATCGGGCTCCTCGCTGACAGTGCGCGGAGCCTGCTTAGGATTCTCCCGCCCCGCTCCTCCCTCCCACTTTCCCTCTCAAAATAAATAAACTTAAAAAAAAAAAAAGAAATTTATGTTAAGAGGCATTCTTTTTTTTTTTTTTTTTTTTTAAATTTTTTTTTCAACGTTTATTTATTTTTTGGGACAGAGAGAGACAGAGCATGAATGGGGGAGGGGCAGAGAGAGAGGGAGACACAGAATCGGAAACAGGCTCCAGGCTCTGAGCCATCAGCCCAGAGCCTGACGCGGGGCTCGAACTCACGGACCGTGAGATCGTGACCTGGCTGAAGTCGGACGCTTAACCGACTGCGCCACCCAGGCGCCCCTAAGAGGCATTCATTTAAGTCTAGGTTGGAAAGTATTCCCAGGTGGAATTTGCAGTGTTACCTAAGCCTCCCTTGGTGACTTACAGTGCCCTCACGTCCTGGTACAGTTCCTCAGTTTGTCTGGATGAGGCAGATGGGGATTCTGACCCCTGAGTACCGATTGCCTCTAGTTACTGTAGTGTTAAAAATATCCCTGCTTCCTCGTGAGTCAAGGTGGGGCCAAGACCTGACTGATGTCTCTGAAACCCTGGCCATTCACACTGTTAGTGAATTTGGGACTGAGGGTGTGTGTTTTGTGTGTGTGTGTGTGTGTGTGCACATGTGTCTTTTCATAGTTCTAAACTATTGTCCTGTCGAACTCCATAATCTGTGTGGTAATTGGTAGGTAAAGTCAATGACAGCTATATATATATTTTTTTTCATTTTTTTTTGTAATGTTTTTATTTATTTTTGAGACAGGGAAGCATGAGAGGAAAGGGGAGAGGGGAGGGCAGAGAGAGAGAGGAGGGCAAAAAAAAAAAGAATCAAAGTGGGCTCCAGGCTCTTGGCCTGTGGCAGAGCCCTGTGTGGGGCTCGAACTCATGGAGTGTGAGATCATGACCTGAGCTGAGTTGGGCAGCTCAGCAGGCCTGGAGCTAAGGACAGCTATGTTTTAAAAAAATGTTTATTTATTTATTTTGAGATATTTATTTTGAGAGAGAGTAAGAGTGTGAGTGCAAGAGCAGGGGAGGGGCAGGGAGGGTGGGTGAGAGAATCCCCGAGCTGTGCTGTCAACCTATGTATAATCCATAAACCACAAAGATAGTGAACGAAATGGGGGTGACCGAGCCACGCAGGTGCCCCCAAGGACAGTTGTATTATATAAATTCTTTTTTTTTTTTTTTAATTTTTTTTTCAAGGTTTATTTATTTTTGGGACAGAGAGAGACATGAGAAGGCAGGGAGGGGCAGAGAGAGAGAGGGAGCACAAGAATGGGAAACAGGCTCTAGGCTCTGGCAACCAAGGAAACCCCTGACCCTTGAGGGGCACCCAATCGCAGACCTGAATGCAGTGACCTGGCGTGAAAGTCCAGGACAGCAACCGACTGCGCCACCCAGGCGCCCCTATAAATTCATTTTAATAATCATCTTGGGGCACTTGGGTGGCTCAGTCGGTGACGCATGTGACTTTGGCTCAGGTCATGATCTCACAGTGAGTGAGTTCGAATCCCACATGGGATGAGCACGAGCCCTGCTTTGGGTGAGCCCTGCTTCTCCCTCGCTCTCTCTCTCTTCCTCTCTGTCTCCGCCTTTATGTGTCCTCTCTCTCTCTCTCTCTCAATAAAAACAACAACAATCATTTTGAAGCAAATGTGAAAAGGAAACAGCCTTCGTTGTAGAGGGTTATGGAATTATGTATGTAGTAGTAGGCAGGTACTGAGACGTGTGTGTTTAGGTAGGAACTGGCTTAGGAAGATCCAGGCAGAGAAATGTATGTGTGTGTGTACATGCTGGTGCCTATAGTTAAGATCCCTGAATATACAGGGGATAGAAAATAACCACTTCAAGTTTAAGGGAAAAAAACAGGGACAAAATACGCACATGTGTTCATTAATGTGCATTGTGGGGCCTTCTGGTCTTTTGCTGATGGTATTACAGACAGGTCATAATAAGGATCCGATTAACAACGTTAAAAGGGAAATTCATCTATTTATGGTTGGTAGCTTGGGTTTTCGCTGCTATGGTTTGGCGTACTTTGTGCCATTGTCCCAAATCAAGAGAAAATCCCTAACAGTTATTAACTGTTGCACTGATTATTTGTTGGAAGGATTAACGTTTTTTCGAGTCAGTTTTTTTTACCTGGTTTAGTTTGACTGGTTTCTGTTTGATGTCTCTGTGTCTCCCTGTCTAGGAAGCTATTTTGCCAGCCACTTCATTATGGGAGGAGAGAAGTTTGACTCCACGCACCCCGAAGGTTACCTATTTGGAGAGAACAGTGATCTGAACTTTCTGGGGAACAGACCAGTAGCGGTATGGTTATGACCTGTTTATTTCCGCGTGGGGCTTCAGTGGCCAATACAAACAGTCTTATAAAAATAAGTTTGTAATCATTGGTTCAGAGGTGTCTGTAGCTCGGTGTGAGTTGAGAGGGTCCCTGGGAGCCAGGCCACAGCCCCTTGGCTGGCGTCGGGTCTCCAGTCACTAGAGGCTGACCCCTGGAAAGACTGCGGGAGTCTGCCTAAGGGGGAGGACATCTCACAGGTTCCCGATGTCTGCATGTCCGAGAGATTCCCGTCTCTGCTAAATGCCACCTCTTTTTCTCTTCTTCATAGCACTTAATGCCATGGAAGCTTGTATTTCTCTGTCTCGCCCTCTGTTTTCTATCTGCCCTTCCTTGTAGGACGTGAATTTCACTGTGTCTCCCTCTCTCTGCCCCTAACCCACTCGCATCCTGTCTCTGTCTCTCTCAAAAATAAATAAACATTAAAAAAAAAACTAAAAACGGGGGTGGGGGTGGCACCTGGGTGGCTCAGTCGGTTGAGCGTCCGACTTGGGCTCAGGTCATGATCTCATAGCTTGTGAGTTCAAGCCCTGCGTCAGGCTCTGGGCTGACAGCTCGGAGCCTGGAGCTGCTTCGGACTCTGTCTCCCTCTTTCTCTCTGCCCCTAACCCACTTGTGTTCTGTCTCTGTCTCTCTCAAAAATAAATAAACATTAAAAAAAAAAAAATTTAGAATGTATATTTCACAGGTCAGGACTATTTTTACTGTTGCGTCCTAGCACCTAGAACAAAGCCTGATACATACTGACAAGCCCTTAAAGAGCTGTTGAATGAATGACTGAAAAGGTTTCCCTTCATATCTGAATTGATACTAGGCTATGTCTCTGTTCATTCAGCTCATTCCATAAACGTATGTAGCATCCTCTCCACACCCAGCCCGAGGCTTTGGAAGAATAGCCTGCCATATGGCTAGTGAATGGCTAAGGAAGGTCCTAGAGACTTTTCAGACATTATTCCTAATCTTTGTAAGACCCACCTGACAGAAGATTTATTGTTATTAATTTTTAAGTAAGCTCTATACCTAATATGTGAGGCTTGAACTCATGATCTCAAGATCAAGAGTTGATGCTCTGCGACTGATCCAGCCAGGTGCACCAGAAGATTTATTATTAATCCTATTAAAAAATTTTTTTTAACGTTTATTTATTTTTGAGAGAGACCAAGAGAGACAGCGTGAGTTGGGGAGGGCAGAGAGAGAGGGAGACACAGACTTTGAAGCAGGCTCCAGGCTCAGAGCTGTCAGCACAGAGCGCGAAGCGGGGGCTCAAACTCCTGGACCATGAGATCGTGACCTGAGAAGTCGGACGCTTTACCGACTGAGCCACCCAGGTGCCCCAATTATTAATCCCGTTTCATAAGCAAGAGAACTGAGGTTCTAAGAAATGACCAATGATAAGTGCATGCTCTGTTCCAGGCACTGTTCTAAGTGTTTGTTTACATAGAGTTTTCCCAAACTCCAATAACTAGGTCTGCCTGGCCACAGGTCGATGACCTTTCCACTGCTTCTCATTGCTTCAAAAAGCCCTGCCTTCCTCCAGAAACTCCTGGGTCAGTGGGGCAGATGAAACACAGGAGCAGGAGATGCGTAAATAGCTGGAGAGGTCCGAAGTGATTGGATGCTGTGGGGCTTGCGAGCAGGAGAGGAGAACGGCAGGCCTGACCCCCTCATGCTCGTGTTGAGAAGAGGCGGACGGTGTTGAGCGAGCCTTTGGAGAGGCCTAGGCTTTTACCAGACGGGTGGGGAAGGGGCTTTCCAGGAGCGGATGCGGAGCACAGGCCCGAGCGTTTTCCCGTTGTTGTCAAACCAGCAAACCTTCACCCAGCGACTGCTGTGTGCCAGGTACTGTGATGGGCGCTGGGGACACCAAGCTGAAGTGAGCATGGTCTGTTTCTCCTGGGAACAAATAAGGAAGCCAGGCTGGCAGGAGTAGACATTTCCTGATGGTGAGACACGGTTGGGAAGGTAGGTGGGGGCTGCATTACCCCTAAGGCTTTTGACTCTTACCTGTAGGCTGTGGGGCATATTGAAGACTTTTCGGTGGATAAGTGACCTGGAGAATTTTTTTTTTTTCCTTTAGGGAGATTCATCCAGTGACTGTCTCCCATCTTGAGCTTTAATTAAAAAACATATTTTGATGATGGGTTTTCACTGGTTTCTCCCTTTCTATCTGGAGTGACCCCCTCCCCTAATTCACAGACCAGGAGTGCTTTCAAAATACCACATCCCTTCTTGCTTCGTATTCGGTCATGCCAGCTCACGCTCACCAAATGTCCGCTCTCTGATTTTGCTACTGGTGCCTTAGCAATTAGAGTAGAAGAATCTTTGGTGTTTTGTTTTATTTTGTTTTGTTTTGTTTTGTTTTGACAGAGACAGGTAAGAATTGTGCCTCCCTCCCTGGGAGTCAATTCGTGCTTGAAAAATGGCCCTTTCTTTTTACGTCAATTACTTCCTTTCTTTTCCTCTTTCTTCTTGTGTGAGAATAGTGTATTATTTTTTTTAATTTTGACCTTTTCAGACCATAAAGATTTTTTTTTTAATGTTTTTATTTATTTTTGAGATAGACAGAATGCGAGTGGAGGAGGGGCAGAGAGAGAGGGAGACACAGAATCTGAAGCAGGCTCCAGGCTCTGAGCTGTTGACACAGAGCCCGACGTGGGGCTCAAACTCACAAACCGTGAGATCATGACCTGAGCTGAAGTCGGACGCTTAACCGACTGAGCCACCCAGGCGCTCCATAAAGATTATTTTAAAACAAATAAATACTTCTTTTGGTTCCTACTGAGGTTTTTTCTGGCTGGCAGACTCCTGGTTCAGCTGCCCTGTTTATGCTTCTCTGTGAGCCTGTGAAGGACTGAGGTCTTCCTGAAGCCCTAAAGAGCAGCCCTGACCTGAAGTTTGAGGCTTTTTCTAAAGGAGTATTGACATTTTGGTTGTTGTTTCTATGTAGTCATCATTAAATATGCTTAATGTTGTAAGAGCAGATGTTTTCAGGAGATATCATCATTTCAGGTTAATAAAGCAAATTGGAGTAACTTCAGATATATATAGAAATAATGTATACAGGGGGCGCCTGTGGGCCTCAATGGTTTAAGCATCGGACTTCGGCTCAGGTCATGATCTCACGGTTCATGAATTTGAGCCCCGCTTCGGGCTCTGTGCTGAAAGCTTAGAGCCTGGAGCCTGCTTTGGATTCTGTGTCTCCCTCTCTCTCTGCCCCTCCCTGGCTCACTCTCTCTCTGTCTCAAAAATAATAAAAATAAAACATTAATAAAAAAATTAAAAAAAAAAGAAGGTATACAGAACAAACGTGGCACATTTCCTTTTCTTTCCCCACACATTATTTCATAATGATCATGGCTAACATTCATTGAACACTTACTATTTGTCAGGCCTGGTTGCTCTAAGCTCTTCATACATGTTATGTCATTTTGTCCTCACACCCTGGTGAGGAAGGTCCTTATTTGACAGATGAGGAACATGGACGCAAAGAATTTAAACAAGGATCACTAAGCCTGTACGTGGTTGAATTGGGATTTGAACCTAGCCGTCCAGCCCCAGAGCCTGAAGCACTCCGGTTTCTGCTATTCAGAGCACGTGTGCTCAGGAACTCTGTGCATATCCTGTCTGTGAGTCTGTCCTAGTAGATCATCAAGTGTAATTTGTGAGATGCAGACAGAGATCTAAAAGTAGACCGAGTGGCAGGGACATGTTCTCTCTGAGTGTCCCTTGAGAGAGCTGCTGTTTGGTGTATATTCCATCTGCTGGTCTGACCTCTGTGTTTTGTCGTTACTGCACATCATACCTGTTTGGGGGACGGCCCAGAGATTGAACATGGACTTGTAGCTTGAGTTCTGAGGACTTGACTTCTACTCTCTAGCAACATGTCCCCCAGGGTCAGTATGTGGGCATCCGGTTGTAGAGGAAAGGGAACAACCTTTTATTTAAAAAAAATTTTTTTTTTTAACATTTATTTATTTTTGAGATAGAGAGAGACAGAGCATGAGCAGAGGAGGGTCAGAGAGAGAGGGAGACACAGAATCCGAAACAGGTTCCAGGCTCTGAGCTGTCAGCCCAGAGCCTGATGCGGGGCTCGAACTCACGGACTGCGAGGTCATGACCTGAGCCGAAGTCGGACGCCCAACCGACTGAGCCACCCAGGCACCCCGGGAACAACCTTTTAAAGCCACCGAGCAGCTCCTCCTTCGAGGGAGAATGAAGATAAGGAGTGGAAGATGTTGAAATAAATTGTTACATAAAATATAAGTGCCATAGGCTTCCTGGCTTGTGGGACTTGTGGTATTTCCTGTCATTTCTGAATGGTCAAACTAAAAAGAATACCGCTTGCAAACGCATCACTCAGCCTGTAGTTTTTACTGGAGCCCTGCCGATCTCCCACTTGGGATAATCCGTCAACGTCAAATTTAGTATCAAGTCCCAGGGGTCAGATTTAATGAACTAGAGCGTGCATAGACATGGATGGTTGAAGAGAGGCTGAAGTCAAGATTTCAGGTTTTGTTTACATCTTAACCACTAGACTCTTTGCAACCTTGGCAAATGTATCACTGAGGCTCTCAGATTACCCACTGGTAAAGGGGGATAGTTCTGACTTTATGGGAATGTGATGCTTGAAGAATGTCTTGGGATTGCTGGGTAAAAAGAAGCCAGGGTAAAAACAATGTTGGCTGTACTGCTACCCTTTCAGGTTGGTTATTTCTGCAGCTACCGATAGTTTTGTGTGGAGAGAATAGTCACTGGTTTTTAAGTAATTGTCTTAAGCGGTCAACAGGGCTTCTGATGGTCTTTCTGTTCTGGTCCCCATATATAGAGGAGCTGAGATCCCTGCGTTTGTACATCACCGTTGTAAAATGTTAAATAAAGACCATCCTTCGCCTTCCTACGGGGTGGAAGAGCTGGTGCTGATTTTTTGCTCCTTTACTGAGCGAGGGCTTCTTTTGTTGAGGCAGATTAC